CACGCGCAAAACAGCGTTACCATTTCTGGGAACACTGTCGTTGAGAGCATGTGAGTGACGTGACCTTTCAATTGTAACTGCGTACAGGCTTAACCGTGGCTTGTAGGTACGGAATGAGAATCAAAGTAGACAGCGATGCTACTAGCGCCACTGTGTCGAGCATCACCTACTCCGGTAACTCCATCTCGGCCAACGACAAGTATGGGTTCCTCATCAGTCAGAGTTACTCTGCGGACTGTAAGTATCGAAAGATATTTCCGAGGGTTGTGCACTGATGCACTCATACAACAGTCGGTACTCCAGGCACTGGAAGCGTCATCGAGTAAGCTCGTCTGCTGTTTAGATTTCTTTCTACGTTTTGACGGCGCGATAATTTAGGGCCATCAACTTCACTGGAAGTAAGACCACTGTTACAACGACCGGCAAGTACCCAGTTGTTGGTATGTATCATTTCAATGCCACTTGAAGACGCATCTTATGCTTTATTTCTAGGGGTCGACTGTGGCAAATGCGAAGGTACTTGGAACTGGAGCGAGCTTGTTGCTACTGGAGGCGAAGCTGCTGACATCGTTCTCGCTGGGGGCGTCTCGGTATGTTTATTTTCTGATCTGTTAGTTTTCGCTCTAACAACTTGAACTCGGCAGATTTCAGGTGGAAGCTACTAAGTTCGGAATGCGATTTCATTATCACAAAAGTCAATTTGATTGTAACTTAAATATTTCTCAGACTCGAAGAGATTAGCGCTGACCGCGCTTGCTCCGCGCTTACTTCCCACTTTTCTTTTCCTAAGTTTCCTTGCACTTGGGGTCATACATCGATTATTGCAGCACCACCTGTCTAAGGTATTGCTCGGCGGCCGTAATTACTGCATATCGTGACGTGAATCGTTGGTTTATCCCACAACTGGACCCCACTCTGACTCTTTCGTCAAGTCAGGATGCCACGGACAAAGCGTCGGATCTATTTCATCAGTATTTTATTTCATTCTAATTTGACGCCAAATCAAAATTAAATCAGAAGCTAATTTAAACTAATTCAAAACCACTCGGATAGTGGTCATTCGCTCTATTTAAGCTTCAGTCACACTACCATGAGGCACCAAATTTCAAGTTCCCATTTACAGTGGCAACACTCGCAAGCGTTGATCGCGTGCGATTTCTCTCTCTCTGTCTCTTTTTCTTCACTACTGTTATGCGTCTCTGAATCAGTAGCACTGAGGAGATTGTGAACGCCTGAGTGTGTCTTTCACTCGTGCTTTCAATTATTCAAGTCAGAAGCCACAATTTTACAAATTTCTCCATGAAGCAGCAAGTGCTAAACCCGCACAAGATCCGTGCGATCCATTCACTTCTATGTCTCATTCATCTTTGGCTCACCTTCTGGTACCGCTGGGGCCCGGGGCCGCGAGGTTACGTTTCTCATGAGTAGAGAGACCTATTCATGAAGAATAAATAATAAAGATGTTACATTTGGTGCCATCGAGGTTTTCAGGATAGCCCACAGCATTCCCGGTCCGTTTCTAACCACTCAAAGGTCTGTTTCTCCCAGTTTCTCCCAGTTTTTTTCCAGCGGGCCGTCGACTAGATGAAACCTGAATGAAAGCAACAGTATAAAACGCGTTGGAATCTTTCCTAGTTTTCCAAGCCTCCTCCCCTCGGTATCCTTTCTCAACATGCAATCTCTCGTCGCCTTTGTCACCCTCGCTGCTTTGTTCTCTAGCTCATTAGCTTCACCTACAAAGACCGGCACAGCCAAGCGCGCGACTTGCACCGTCGACAGCGTAGCCAGCGCCGCCGACCTCTCTGACTGTACTGATGTCGAAATCGTGGCCTGGGAGGTCCCAGCAGGCGGTACGCACATCTATTTCTACGTTAGATGAATGTGTGATTTTAACATGATAAATTACAGACGTCATCAAAATCCAAGTATGCCTTACTGCTATGATATGCACTTTCTACGTTGACAGAGTCACCACGTCCATAGGCAGCATCGGGTGCTGTAGGTATTCTTTACGTCGGGTCTTGAAATTTCTCTAATATTGGCGTAGACAATAACGATGACTGGTTCAGTCAATTTCGCATTCACCTCCGCATCGGGACCTCTTTGGGAATTCGACACCGACGTATGCAGCCTCTGTCCATAATGTTCTCAAGCATTATTCAACTAATCTTTCTCTTCAAGAATGTCCAATTCAATGGCAACGGGTTCAGCTTCAAAGGAAACGGTCCACGTGAGTGTGAATGTATAATGTTCAAATCCACCTCAGCTAATAAAGGGATATACATATATAGTTTACTGGGACGGGCTGGGTACTGACGGAGGTGTTCCCAAGCCCCATCCTTTCGTAAAGTATGTTTACGCCAGAGCCTATTCGCTATGTTGCTGATCAATAAACAGATTCGAGGGATCTGGGACTTTCACCAACTTCATTATCAAGGATTCACCTGCTCAAGCAATCTCTATCGGTACGCATTTTTCTGGATCTATTAGGCGGATGTTAAAATTGTTTGAAGGTACAACTGCGGCTTCGACGTTCACCGATATTTTGGTCGATAACCTTGACGGCACTACTGACGGTCTCGGAGCTAACACTGATGGCTTCGACGTCTCCGCTAGCGATGTAAGAGAATTAATCTACTCAATCTCCCACCGTACACTGGGAAAATAACTTAACTGCATTTTTAGGTCACCATTAGCGGGAACACTGTTTTCAACCAAGACGATTGGTAGGTCAAGCTCATCGGGCTGGAAAATAAAATCTCACCTGGCTCCAGTCTTGCCATCAACTCGGGAACCAACATTCTTTTCGAAAACAACATGTGCTCTGGCGGACACGGTATTTCCATTGGATCGATTGCTACCGGCAAGTCTGTTACTGAGTACGTCTTCCCCAATATTTCCAAGTATTATACTAATAATTACATGCACAAAACAGTGTTACTATCTCTGGCAACACTGTTGTCGAGAGTATGTGAGTGATTCAATTATAAATGAGGCTCATTGATCTTCAACTCCCTCGCCTGTAGGTACGGAATGAGAATCAAGGTAGACAGCGATGCTACTGACGCCACTGTGTCTGGCATCACCTATATCGGAAACTCCATCTCGGCCAATGACAAGTATGGATACCTCATCAGTCAGAGTTACTCTGAGGACTGTAGGTCTTTATGCAAAACATCATCTCAAAGGGTTGTATACTGATACACTGGAAAAAAAAAACAGTTGGCACCCCCGGTACTGGCAGTCTTGTCGAGTACGATTGTCTGTTGTTTGAGTTTATTCTTGCATTTTGACGACATGATACCATAGGGACATCACCTTTAGTGGAGCTACGACCACCGTTACAACGACCGGCAGCTTCCCAGTTGTCGGTATGTATTCTGTTATTCCACACGACTTTTGAATATGCATCTCATCCTTCCTTCTTAGGTGTCGACTGTGGCAACTGCCAGGGTACTTGGGACTGGGGATCCCTCGATGCTACTGGAGGTGAAGCTGCCGATATAATCCTCACCGGAGGCGCTAAGGTATGTTTTTTTTCTAGTATAAACTATTATCTTCCACTGAAATTTTGGCAGATTTCGGGTGGAACCTTCTAAGTTCGGAAAGACTTCAATTCTCGATAACAATAACGGATTCACGAAGTTAGGGTTGGTCGGCACTGGCATTAACAACTTATATATCAACCTCGTCAAAAATTATACCATATATTTCAAGTTATTGACTTCGTGTTGATCAGACTCAAAGGTCCATAAGCGCATTTAAAATTTATCCTCAAAATGATTCTTATCATTGCTAAGAACATGATAACTTTAGCTTTGACCGAGCTTTGATAACTTTGGCTTTGACCGCACATAAACGGACATTAAAAACAAGATCACATTCAGTTAGGGAGTTGTGGCACGGCGAATATTTCGTCAACTTTCTCGCGTGGAGCCCCGCCAAAACTATGAAGAAATTTTCGCCGTGCCACAGCTCCCTATTATAGAAAGAAACAGGTCATACCAGTCCGTTAGACAGCGAAAAGCTAGTGCATGGCAATCCCTTTACAATTTGATCCATCAAAGATACGTAGACGTACAGTAATTTAACAACCGAGACAGCTGGTAAGTCTCGACCTCAATTCGGCCAAATCCCAGAGAAATAAGTTTTGTTTGTATCTCAGTGTTGCTATCAACTCTGGTAGAAGACGGTGGAATATTGTATTTGAGAACAACTTCTGCTCTGGTGGCCACGGTATCTCCATTGGCTCCATCGCTTCCGGCAAAACTATCACCGAGTAGTAAGTACGCTTTCACCGCTATTTTTCAGTGTTGCACTCATCACACGCAAAAACAGCATTACCATTTCTAGGAACACTGTCGCTGAGAGCATGTGAGTGATGTGACCTTTCAATTGTAACTGCGTGCAGGCTTAACCGTGGCTTGTAGGTACGGAACGAGAATCAAAGTAGACAGCGATGCTACTAACGCCACTGTGTCGAGCATCACCTACTTCGGTAGCTCCATCTCAGCCAACGACAAGTATAGACTCCTCATCAGTCAGAGTTACTCTGCGGACTGTAATTCTTGACAGATATTTCCGAGTCGTACTCGGAGCACTGATGCATTCCTACCAATATTTAGTCGGTACTCCAGGCACTGGAAGCGTCATCGAGTAAGCTCGTCTGCTGTTTAGATTTCTTCCTACGTTTTGACAGCGCGATAAATGAGGGCCATCAACTTCACTGGAAGTATGACCGACCGGCAAGTACCCAGTTGTTGGTTGTATTATTTCAACGTCACTTCAAGACGACCTTAGGAGGTTGGGCTGCTAGAGGGGGAGGGTGATATAATTTACAGTTTCAATGTTTTAAACTAATTTTCGGTATAATACTATCAACTAAAAAACTTTAAATTAAAAATTCTAAATAATTTAATTTAATTTAATTTAAAAAAGGAAAAATTAAAAAAAATAAAAGAAAAGAGAAAAAAGAAGGGAATTCTTAAATAAAAAAATAAACGAAAATAGTTAAGTGGTAATAACCTCCGTCTTCCAAATGGATATCATCAGTTCGAATCTGATTTTTCGTATAAATTAAAAAATTTAATATATATCCTTTAACCTTTTTTAACTATTTTTTTAACTAATGCTATAGTTAAAATAAAATTACCCCCCCATAAATTGGACTAAGTTTAAGTTCAAGTGTAAAGTTAAAACAGTTAGACCTAGCCACTCTCCCTTCTACCAAAACTGGCGTTGCACCTGGCCCCCTTGCTAAAGCCAAACGCACTTGTCCGTAGGGGTAGAGGGTGTTTTAAAAACTAGGGGTTTAATAAGCCTCAATGGGACGGTAGATAAACCTTGTGTCTTTCAGGTCTAGGCATAGGGCCCTACCTTCTACCTTTTGTTAGTATCACCCTTGTTTCCTTCCTTCCTTGTAACGCACCACCGCAACGCTCCCTACCGCAGGTAGGGATGTAGGACTTAACACCATCCCGTACGGGGGGGGGGGGATGAGGGTTGAAGGGAAGTAAAAGTATGCCCGCTACCTCTCCACCCCTCCCGCCTTCTTTCGCAGTACTTCGAGGGTGGGTGAGGAGGTTGGAGGCTTAGATGCCGTAGGAGAGGGGTGCGACCCTCCCTGGCCGTAGGCAGGGGGGGGAGCGGAGGTTGTATTTCTAAGCCTTAGTAGGTAGTTGCTTTACAGTATGAAAATTATTTATATAAAATAAATAAAGGGAGAAGTAATTTTATTAATAAATAGTTTTACTTTTTAATAAACTTTAAGTTTTGTTAAATAGTTTATTGTAATTACATTATATTTTTTTATATTTTATAATAAGTTTTAATATAGTTGTTTATTTTTTAACCTTTTTTGTTTATACCCTTTAGTTAATACCCTATTCCTAAACCCTAAAGGGAAGGTGGGTGGAGGTAGAATTAGTTTAATGGTAAAATGACACCTTGTGGCGGTGATGTTCAGAGTTCGAGTCTCTGATTCTACCCAATTTTTAAAGTTTTCCCTCTCTAAAATAAAAGCATATTATTTATTTAGTATAATTTAAAAAGTATCCTCCGCCCTCAGGGCTCCTGCCTAGTATACAAGGTTGGGCTATAAGGTCCTACGACATGTAACAGGCCGATAGGCTAGAAACCTCTCCATTACCTTAATCTTAAAATCCTTCCTTCCAGGAAGGAACCCTAACCTACCTGTCGCAGACTAGTCTAGTGACAAAACCTCCAACTTAAAGAATGGCTAAAAATAAAGACAGCCCTCTCTATCCTTTAGTCCTTAAGTCTTTTAGTCCTTAAGTCCAAGGGGGGGAGGGTGTGAGGAAGGGTTTTTGTTACAGTAATAGTTATGCGACGTATCCAAAGTAACATTAAATACAAGTTTTAAAACTACTTCGCAAACGATAATCTCAAAAGAAGGTTGTATACTGATACACTGGAAAAAAAAAACAGTTGGCACCCCCGGTACTGGCAGTCTTGTCGAGTACGATTGTCTGTTGTTTGAGTTTATTCTTGCATTTTGACGACATGATACCATAGGGACATCACCTTTAGTGGAGCTACGACCACCGTTACAACGACCGGCAGCTTCCCAGTTGTCGGTATGTATTCTGTTATTCCACACGACTTTTGAATATGCATCTCATCCTTCCTTCTTAGGTGTCGACTGTGGCAACTGCCAGGGTACTTGGGACTGGGGATCCCTCGATGCTACTGGAGGTGAAGCTGCCGATATAATCCTCACCGGAGGCGCTAAGGTATGTTTTTTTTCTAGTATAAACTATTATCTTCCACTGAAATTTTGGCAGATTTCGGGTGGAACCTTCTAAGTTCGGAAAGACTTCAATTCTCGATAACAATAACGGATTCACGAAGTTAGGGTTGGTCGGCACTGGCATTAACAACTTATATATCAACCTCGTCAAAAATTATACCATATATTTCAAGTTATTGACTTCGTGTTGATCAGACTCAAAGGTCCATAAGCGCATTTAAAATTTATCCTCAAAATGATTCTTATCATTGCTAAGAACATGATAACTTTAGCTTTGACCGAGCTTTGATAACTTTGGCTTTGACCGCACATAAACGGACATTAAAAACAAGATCACATTCAGTTAGGGAGTTGTGGCACGGCGAATATTTCGTCAACTTTCTCGCGTGGAGCCCCGCCAAAACTATGAAGAAATTTTCGCCGTGCCACAGCTCCCTATTATAGAAAGAAACAGGTCATACCAGTCCGTTAGACAGCGAAAAGCTAGTGCATGGCAATCCCTTTACAATTTGATCCATCAAAGATACGTAGACGTACAGTAATTTAACAACCGAGACAGCTGGTAAGTCTCGACCTCAATTCGGCCAAATCCCAGAGAAATAAGTTTTGTTTGTATCTCAGTGTTGCTATCAACTCTGGTAGAAGACGGTGGAATATTGTATTTGAGAACAACTTCTGCTCTGGTGGCCACGGTATCTCCATTGGCTCCATCGCTTCCGGCAAAACTATCACCGAGTAGTAAGTACGCTTTCACCGCTATTTTCAGTGTTGCACTCATCACACGCAAAAACAGCATTACCATTTCTAGGAACACTGTCGCTGAGAGCATGTGAGTGATGTGACCTTTCAATTGTAACTGCGTGCAGGCTTAACCGTGGCTTGTAGGTACGGAACGAGAATCAAAGTAGACAGCGATGCTACTAACGCCACTGTGTCGAGCATCACCTACTTCGGTAGCTCCATCTCAGCCAACGACAAGTATAGACTCCTCATCAGTCAGAGTTACTCTGCGGACTGTAATTCTTGACAGATATTTCCGAGTCGTACTCGGAGCACTGATGCATTCCTACCAATATTTAGTCGGTACTCCAGGCACTGGAAGCGTCATCGAGTAAGCTCGTCTGCTGTTTAGATTTCTTCCTACGTTTTGACAGCGCGATAAATGAGGGCCATCAACTTCACTGGAAGTATGACCGACCGGCAAGTACCCAGTTGTTGGTTGTATTATTTCAACGTCACTTCAAGACGCACCTTATGCATTATTTCTAGGGGTCGACCGTGGCAAATGCGAAGGTACTTGGAACTGGAGCGAACTTGTTGCTACTGGAGGCGAGGCTGCTGACATCGTTCTCGCCGGGGGCGTCTCGGTATGTTTATTTTCTATTCTGTTATTTTTCGCTCTAACAACTTGAACTCCGAGTCGGCAGATTTTGGGTGGAAGCTACTAAGTTCGGAACGCGATTTCATTAAATTTGTATAAATATTTCTCAGATTCGAAGAGCGCCGCTGCCCTTGCTCAGCGCTTACTTCCCACTTTTCCCACTTTCCCAAGTTCTTGCACTTGGGCCATACATCGACTATTGCAGCACCACCTGTCTAAGATATTACTCAGCGGCCCGTAATTACTGTATATCATGACGTGAACCGTTGGTTTATCCCACAACTGGATCCCGCTCTGACTCTTTTTTCAAGTCAGGATGCCACGGGCATTGAAATACTGAAGCATAGTAGGAAATAAATTATTTTAGTCACTACCTGAAATATACTTTTTCGGAGGATTACGAAAAATAAATATCTCTATAGAGGGAAATAAATTCAGACCATTTGAAGTTCAGACTTTATGTGAATTTCCGAAATGAATTTTTCGAACAGGACATGAAATAATTCATTTTCAACCTCAAACTTCAATCGGTCTGAATGTATTTCCTTCTCTAGTCTATTTCCATAATCCTCTATAATCCTCCGAAAAAGTACATTTCAAGTAGTGACTAAAATGATTTATATGAAGCATAATTATTGGCAGTGTGAGTATTTCATTCTAATTCATTCTAATTTCACGCCAAATCAAAAGCGAATCATAAGCTAATTTTAGCTAATTTAAGACCAATCGGATAGTGGTCATTCGCTCTATTTAAGCTTCCGCCATGAGGCACCAAATTTCAAGTTCCCATTTACAGTGGCAACACTCGCAAGCGTTGGTCGCATGCGATTTCTCTCTCTCTGTCTTTTTTTTTTCACTGCTGTTATGCGTCTCTGAATCAGTAACACTGAAGAGATTGTGAACGCCTGAGGCTTTTTTTCACTCGTGCTTTCAATTATTCATGTCAAGAACAAGTCAAGAAGCCACAATTTTACAAATTTCTTCATGAAACAGCAAGTACTAAACCCGCACAAGATCCGTGCGATCCATTCACATCTTTGGCTCACCTTCTGGTACCCGCTGGGGCCCGGGGCCGCAAGGTTACGCTTCTCATGAGTGGTGGAGACCTATTCATGAAGAATAAATAATAAAGATGTTACGTCTGGTGCCATTGAGGTTGTCAGGATAGCCCATAGCACTCCCGGTCCGTTTCTAACCACTCAAAGGTCTGTTTCTCCCAGTTTCTCCCAGTTTTTCTCCAGCGGGCCGTCGACTAGACGAGTCCTCAATGAAAGCAACAGTATAAAACGCATTGGAATCTTCCCTAGTTTCCAAGCCTCCTCCTCTCGGTAACCTTACTCAACATGCAGTCCCTCGTCGCCTTTGTCACCCTCGCCGCCTTGTTCTCTAGCTCATTAGCTTCACCTACAAAGACCGGCACAGCCAAGCGCGCGACTTGCACCGTCGACAGCGTAGCCAGCGCCGCCGACCTCTCTGACTGTACTGATGTCGAAATCGCAGCCTGGTCGGTCCCATCAGGCGGTACGCACATCTATCTCTACGTTAGATGAATGTGTGATTTTAACATGATAAATTATAGACGTCATCAAAATCCAAGTATGCCTTACTGCTATGATATGCACTTTTTACATTGACAGAGTCACCACGTCCAGGCAGCGTCGGGTGCTGTAGGTATTCTTTACGTCGGGTCTTGAAATTTCTCTAATACTGGCGTAGACAATAACGATGACAGGTTCAGTCAATTTCACATTCACCGACGCTTCGGGACCTCTTTGGGAATTCGACACTGACGTATGCACCCCTTGTCAATGATGTTCTCAAGCATTATCTCAACTGATCCTTTTCTTCAAGAATGTTGACTTCAACGGCAACGGATTCAGCTTCTTAGGAAACGGTCCACGTGAGTGTGAAGTATAATGTTC